AGATATCTGGCAACAGAATCTGTTCCTTTTTTTTTAAGGATGTATATTTCCTCTATTAAACAAACCATTTCTTTGGCCACCAACCTTTTGTCCATGTTTTTTCTTTCTTTCTTTTTTTCTTCTCTGAAGGTAAAAAACTAACTATTTTGTCTTTCTTTTTACTCTGCAGGACAGATTGCCCCTCCTAGTCATTTGATTCGAGTAGAAGGGAACAGCCACGCCCAATATGTAGAAGACCCCATCACAGGAAGACAGAGTGTGCTGGTACCTTATGAGCCACCCCAGGTAAGAAGATAAGGACTGAGCTGAGTTGGGAGCGGATTAGACTCAGTGACACAGAGGGTTTCAAGCATCTATTTCTGTCTTAGTCATTGTTATCAAATATATAACTTTTCTGTATCTCTTCTCTTCCTCTTTCCATAGACTGCTATTCTATCCCCCTATAAACTCCTAAATTTGTACTAACTTAACTTGGTAAAATGGGTCAGTGCCCATGTTCTTATCTTAAAGGCCGGTAATAATTGGACTTGCAGTCAGGTTAATACATGACCTTATCTAGAGAATTTAACTGGCAATTGAACTGGTAGTGAATGCGCACCAGATCTGGATGTGAGTATTCTTACCACTAGCCTGCAAATGGGAGGCCCTGAGATGGATCTCTTAGCTGAAGTCTGAGTGGACATGTGGCAGATTAGAAAATCAGAATATGAGTGTAGTGTGGCCAGGGTCTTGGTTTGCTGACTCCCTGTGCTAACCCTTAACTGTGACTCTTCCTCCCTGGATTTGAGTTGCCTCTTCCATAAATGAGCGCTTTGTGACTAGATGTAGCCCCGAGGACCACTTAAGTTCCAGAGTATTATTTATGAAAGTGTACCTTCAAATTTATGTCATACTGTTTTATCCACATAGGGACAATTTCCCTGGAGCATTGCTGTTATTTTGGGTAATGTTTTCAGCTCTCCCTTTACAGTGATATTCACATAGGTGATAAACTCTGAATTGGGTGATATGAAGCAGCTTACAAATGAATAGGGTAAAAAATTATTATTTTTTTTAAAGCCTATCTCACCTAATATTGAGTCTAATGTTGCAAACATTAGCTTTAAGCTTCCCAAGAGATGAGACAAAGAAAAATCTACAATGGGTGTGAGAGCTTCTCCTCCTAGAAAAAAATCACATCACTGAATCAGAAGCGGAGTTGTTTAAATAGAAGGAAGAATTGAGAAGAAAGAATATTAGATCAAATTATTATTAATCCAGACTCTTTTTCTCCCATGTTCAGGTTGGCACAGAATTCACAACAGTCTTGTACAATTTCATGTGTAACAGCAGTTGTGTTGGAGGGATGAACCGTCGTCCAATTTTAATCATTGTTACTCTGGAAACCAGAGAGTAAGTGGCATATGCAGAATTGTCATTCTGCAAAAACCATGGACCGAGGGCAAAATGAAATTGTGTTTGCTTTATCATTACCTTTGCATGTACAGCAGAGAGCTACCCTTGATTTTGTCTTTTGTGCTTTAAATCCTTGCTGCAAACACTTACATAAAAGATCTAAGAAAGTGGAGACAAAACAAGGTGGGTAAACATAGAGGGGAAAAAAACAGAGAAGGCAAGTCACTTCATACCTGAATTCTTGACATTTAGCTGGAATAGTTTCTGATTAGACAGTGTTTGTTTTCTTGTGGCCCCCAAGGCATTTAACAGTTTCTTTGAGTAAGTCTGGGCTGCCTAAGGGGATTTTATCCGGAGACATCCACTGGCTTAACTCAAGTTTCCTTCAAAATATGTAGCTAAATACAGCTGTTAAGCTAATGGCTTAGAGGTTCTTTGCAGAACAAATGGAATGTTATTTACTAATATTGCTTGTGGCATGTAAGCACTTTTGTGTTCTGCCAAGTGCTTTTGAGTCCATTCTCAAAGCAGCCATGACTGAGCTGGTGGTGGTGGTGGTGAACTGGTGATGGCCAGCAGTGGAAATGGAAATGGAAGAACTTCAGGGGACTTTTAAAATTCCTTTAAGTTGACCCTTTCCTCCCCTCTTTTCTAATTCCTAGTGGGCAAGTCCTGGGCCGCCGCTGCTTTGAGGCCCGGATCTGTGCTTGCCCAGGGAGAGACAGGAAAGCAGATGAAGACAGCATAAGAAAGCAGCAAGTCTCGGACAGCACAAAGAATGGTGATGGTACGAAGCGCCGTAAGTAGCTGTAGTGGCCAAATGGGGTAGGGTTCAGTCTTCTCTAGATAAGGGGCTAGGGAGTGATGTTTGAGAAGCTCTATAATAAGTCCTAAGGACTCCAGGGGCAGGTATGACTTCAGGCCCCAGAGCCAGCAGGAACAGCTATGGATGGCATTGATGGAGGTGTTCAGATGGACTCCAGGTGTGGACTCCAGGTGTGCAGTACAGCTGGACAAAAGCAAATAGTCATTGTGAGGATTTCTTAGTCCAACAATTCTCAAAATGTAACTCCCAGACCAGCAGCATCAATATCATCTTAAAACTGGGTAAAAATGCAAATTCTTAATTCCAAGACTTGCTGAATCAGGAATTGGGTGTGAGGCCCAGCAATCTGTGTTTAGTAAGCCCTTCGGGTGACTCTAATGCTAACTAGTTTGAGAAGCAGTATCTTAGCCTATTGGTGTTAGTTTATCTTTCTGTTATAGAGCATTAGAGTGGAAAATACATCTAAATACCTCAGGTGTCTGTGGAAACAGTGAGATTTAAGAATATACAGATCGGGGTTTCATTGAATCTTGACATGTATGCCCTTCTTGGGGCCTTAGTTATCTTATCTATAGTAAGGCTAATGATTTGGGTCAGTTGTTTTCAAATTTGCTTTGTTAAGCAGTGAAAGCTTTTTCAAAAATGAAATATTTCATCAAATATATGGTGACGGAAGGAGAACTGACTCTGGGTGGTGAACACACAATGTGATGTATAGATGATATATTACACAATTGTACACCTGAAACCTATGCAATTTTACTAACAATTGCCACCCCAATAAACTTAAAAAATAAATAAATGAAAGAAAGGAAAGAAGGAAAGAAGGAAGGAAGGAAGGAAGGAAGGAAGGAAGGAAGGAAGGAAGGAAGGAAAGAAAGAAAGAAAGAAAGAAAGAAAGAAAGAAAGAAAGAAAGAAAGAAAGAAAGAAAGAAAGAAAGAAAGAAAGAAAGAAANCTTTTGTAAACATTGCATTTTATTTAAAGTAGAAGAATACTATTAGTTTGATTAATAAATATAACTCAGCCTTATAAGATTGCTAGCAGCCAGTGGTAAACATGCTGCTCTGAAGGCCGTAAAAGGGGGACGTTGGCTCCTTGCTCTGATTTGGCATGTAACAATATCTCCTGTTGGTTCTTTCCCTCTCGCCACCACTGGACCATCTCTGAGCAGTATTCCACTGAACTGAAGAAACTCTACTGCCAAATCGCCAAGACATGTCCCATCCAGATCAAGGTGATGACCCCTCCTCCTCAGGGTGCTGTCATCCGGGCCATGCCTGTGTACAAGAAAGCGGAGCATGTCACCGAGGTGGTGAAACGGTGCCCCAACCATGAGCTGAGCCGTGAATTCAATGAGGGTAAGGAGGAGAAGATTCTGTGGTGTTCAGCTAAGCTTCTTGACAGTAGAGATCCTGTGCAGATTTTTGCTGGGAACCCACTTACTTACCTGGTACCAACCTCTGCAATCTAATGGTAGTTTGTCTACCTCTTTGGCTGGCAGAATGAAGAATGATCAGTAAATGTGTAACTGTCACAGTGATTGAACTATTTAATGTAATATTAGTAGTTATTAGATAACCTGGACTTGCCTCTCTACTCCCTACTGCTTTCTTACCTTTTTATTTTTATTTTTTATATTTTATTTTCCTAATGAGAGAGTATAAGGGAAAATGTAGTATTTGATCATTTAGCCTGTTCAGGCAGGCTAAGGGAATCTAGCTTTAGTGCCTTTCCCATAGTGATTGTCAAGGCCTAACCAACTGGACAGATAAGAGGAAGGTACATAAACGGTGAACAATGTGAAAAAATAGAGATGGAAAGTGGGAAAAAATAAAAAGAAATGACGATAAATAATGGGCAAGAGGAGTAAATAGAAATCTGCAACATAACCTGAGGAGGGAGACAGTAAAGTGAAGGACTGGGCATTAGGGAGCAGGTGTCTTGGGACCATCTTTAAGCTCTGTATCCACGCCTGTGTTCTGAGCCTAAGATACAACAATAGCTTTACAGGAGAGCTCAATATTTCTAAGGGTTCCTGATATTTGATATTCTAAGGTCCTATTAAGGGAGTCTAAGTCAAGAGCACAGAAAAATGAAAAGAAAGGACAGGAGAACATGTTAGGATTCATCAAAGAGTGTTGAGTGTGCAGGAGGGCTGGGAGTTAGGATTTTTATATAGAAAATATATTTAAAGTAGAAAATTTGGTTAGTAGCTAGAATGTGTGAATATAGAGAATAAAATAGATGGTAGAGAAAATTAATGGAAGAAAGAGAGTGGAGAGAAATTTGAAAAGAGAAAACAGTTTAATTTCTAGTCCTTTTCTAGATGGCTTCATTATCCATACCTTCATATCATGTTTTTCACTTAGCAGTTTGCCATAAAGATTATTTCTTATAGCTAGATTGCATTATAGGTTTCCATAATTGTCCTTGATCCATCAAGGTGACATAACTGTGAATTTTTTTCTCAATATTTGATATAATAGCTTTGTCTTTTTTGGAGGGGTATAATAGAGGGTGTTTCAGAGAGTGTCTTGACGCACTTCGCTTTTTACTGTTAAGAAATGTCAGTTTTTGTGGAATGGCAATACATGGTCAAAGGTTCAGAACACCTTTATGGCTCCCAGTTGTTGGATCAGCTTCCTTCTTTTCAAACCCTGTCCAGTGTCACATTTTGTGAAATTATGCCTATACTCTTTTTAAAACTTGCTTCCCTATTCTTGTCCTCCAAAGTTGGGCTCTTTTAGCACAACACAACCAGTAAGTTTATCGTCTTTATGATCAAAGGATAGGGTCTAAAGATGAAGACCGTATGATGGAGAAAAGAATAGGCAAAGTGATAGTGATGTACTTGCCATCTGTTGCCTCTTATTTTTACTGCTCAATTTTTAGATAACATCTCTCAAGCATATTTTTTT